TCCCTCCCTCAACAGCGTGCAACCATTTCTTCCCTCTTCTGCTTCGCGACCCCTACGAACACCACCTGCTCCGATACCCTGCCGATAACACGTTTGTCGTCGTCTCGCCCTCTCCCTCTCTCTGTCTCTCTCGCACCTCCTCTAGCACCTCCTTCCTTCCTGCTCCTTACTTCACTGCTTGGCGGAATTTGTGTTGAGCGGTTTATTTGCGGGTGGAGCGGTGCCATTACACGCGCACACAATCTCATGTTTAAAATTAGCATTAATGTCAAAAGCGTTTTCCCCCTCCGCCCTTCCCCTCGCCCTCCCCTCGGCAGCAGCTCCGTCCGCCCGCCGCGCCTGTCTTCAACTGCCTGGCAAGGGCCGCCCCTCCGCCCCGCAACGCCCGACGTGAGCTCGACCTCCTTCGCCTGCCCGGCCTGGCAGCCCCCTGCCGAACGAGGTGAGAGTTTAGTGTTCCCACAGCCAATCCGGCCGGCTGTAGAGGGCGGGGCGGGTGAGCCCCGGGTGCGCCTCGGGTGGGTCGGGTGGGCAGCGCGGCTCGAGTGGCCCAGGTGGACCCCGGATGGAGCCCGGGTGGAGTCCGTCAGGCCAAGCAAGCACAAAATTTTTCTAGTAAAATTGAAAACTTTTTCAGAAAAAAAATTCATTTTTTTTTTGTAAAAATTCTGAAGTGGAACTTTCTGGAGGAAAACTAAAAAGTTCAAAACATTGCAATTTTCTCGTAGAATCCTTCACTGGAAATAGACATTAACAACCCGTAGGCTGGCTGGAGGCTGCGGGGCAACGCAAACCCTTTGCCAGCGCTGCGGCCCCTTCAACTTAACCACTTCTTCTCTTCGTGTTGCGGCCCCCGCACCCCGAAATAAAGATTTTTTAATATCCGGTAGTTAATTAGCTGGCGAGAGCACCGCACCGCGGAGCGGTCTGCCTGATTAACGCGCGCCACTTGTTTGAGTAAGTACACGCACACAGGAAAAAAACGCGCACCACACACACACATCAATTTTTTGTTTGTTTGACAGTGCACCTGAGGTACCTTTTCCAGCGTAATGCACATACCTCCACGATGTAGTCACTTTACCCTCTGTGACTAATACCCCTCCCCCCTCCTTTTTCAACTTACAAAGCTCCAACAAACATTCGAAAATAACAAATGCATGTTAACTGTATCTACTGTGCAGTTGCTGACCTTTCTCGGCCCTGAGTGGGCGGTGGTCCTCCTCCTACCTGTAGACGGGCGGCGGGTTGGCGTGCGCCACGCAGGGCACCACCACGGCCTCCTCCAGGCGCGCCGGCAGCGTGCTGGTCGTCTCGTGCAGGATGGGCGCCACGGGCCGCCGGGCGTCTGCGACAACAAGCAAAGAACAAGGTACAGAGACTATAATTGAGAGGTGGCGTGGCAGAGTGGGAGGTGGGAGGTGGGCGTGGAGCAGGGCATTCTAGCCGCACTCTGAAGACCGTCGTAGAGGCTGCTTCTTTTCCTGTGGCAAAAATTTTGCATTTTTCTCATCGTTCAAATTCGGGCATCTATATTGGCATGTCTTTTCGCGCTTTTCTGAATGCCAAATTTTGGCTTTATAGAGACGGTAGGTGAACGATTTTCTTTGTAATGCCAATGCGAATAAATTAATTCGCCGTTGGAAAAGATAATTTCTTGGCAAGCAATTATCAGTGCGACTACAACGTTATTTTTGACTTACGTCGAGTTAAGGCCTCAGCGCCAACGACCGTTCAGGTCGAAGGTCAAACGGCCGCCACCCTGCTCTCCCCAACTCCTTCGCGTCTCTCCACACTATGCCTCCTCTCTCCCTCTCTCCCGCCTCTCCCTCAATGTCACTCCTCGGCTCCGCGCGCGCCGCGCACTGGGCCCGGCCGGGTCTGGCCGCGACAGCGCACAACTCTGATAAAATCCCATTTCAGCCATGTCAGGCCACCGCAGGGAGGGAGGCAGGGGGAGGGA